TACTTAAACTGGTCAGTAATCAGTCTGGGGTTTATTCATCACTGGCAACTAGACACAAGCCAAACCTGCAGGGGCCTGAGCATACCTCCTCCAGGGGGATATATCTGCACAGTTCTTCTGCATTTACTTATTTTTATTTTCACAACCAGGAGCACTTAAAGGCTGATGCATCTGAAAAGATTGGCTCCACTCTACTGAAGCTTATATCACATCCGGCAGTTCATAAGGCAGCACAGAACTCATTGATATTTTCACAATAAATACTGTAAAACATAGGGAACTAAAACTTTGTTATGCCTGCAAGCTCTTTTAGGATTTTGAGAAAGAATCGTAGTCACAACAAAATGGCTATCAAGGAGGGCAGGGCTAATCACAGAATGGCTGCCGTGGTGGGTGGGGTCAATCACAAAATATTGAGAGGTTCCGCAAAATGTTGGGAGGTTCCAAGCCAAGTGTCTGAAAGGGCACTCCATGGAGACACATAGATGGTATCTCCTTGGCTTTTCTGAAGTACCTTCTATTCCTAGAAGGTGGTGGAAAGCTGGGATGACCTCTTTGTTTTGGGGGTTAGGTGCTTCTTATTATTGGTTTCCAAAGCAAGGGGAGGATTTGTTGGGAATGAATTAAAAATGGATAAAGCTGCAACAAATCCAGATTAAAATGCCAGTTCACATAAAATAAAGGCCACTGATACAAAACACACAGTTTAATTGCAGGGCAAGATAATCTTCTTGCAAATGCTATTTCTGTGCTGATAAGAGAATGAGATTAGAGCTTCTTAAACCAGCACTTTCGGGGGCTGCTTGGGAATAGAAGTGTTCAGGAAGGCTTCACAACAAAGAAACCCCCTCCAAGGCATACAGGGAGAAGTGGCTTCAGCTCCCCCCACCCCCCCGGGCGGCCCATGGATCTACTATTTACCCTGTTACGAAACTTACATGTAGTCACATAAATAACATGTAGTATAAGTCTAAGAACACTTTCCTAGGAGTAATTAAAGGTAAAGGTTT